TCAGTCGGCCAGATAGTTGTCTTCCAAATTTCTTGGCAGAGATGAGTGAGTGCCTCCTGTGCCGCCTCACTTTCTTGAAAGATTTCAATTTATGGATGTAGTAGCTCAAAATACCAACAGAGAGGGAAGGAGTCTTCACATCAAGTATCAATGCTATCCCCTCTGTAAACAGTGTAGATAGGCATGGGCAACTTAGTGGCTACCTAAAATGAGGAGGTGATAAAGGCACAAAGTGACTGGCTTACAAGGTTTCAAGAGGGAGTTTAGTTTCAGAGTTTGTGGGGGAAGATAGAACCCCATTGAATAGTTTTCATCTTGTCTAGACAAGTCTGGTGAAAGAGCTGGGTATAAGATTCTTGTGATTCAATAGTGAGAAGTTGTTATCATGACTAATTGTGACTGTCACAACAGTAAAGGTGCAAGTTTTGTAACAAAAATGGAGTAGTTACAAGTCCAGAAAGAGAGGACCCTAGGACCATCAAAGGAGAAGAGCACAACGGAATGCGGCACTTTTCCAGAGAAGCAGCGATGCCAGAGATGGAGGCAGAGATGAGGACATGGAAAGAGGGAGCAGCTGAGGACTCTAGACTCATGGAAAAGACAGGGACTGAGTGCTGGTGGCCAGGAGGCAGGCTTGCAGAATGTGCCCTTTGGTTGTTTAATTGATCATATATCCCCAGAGGGAATAGAAGCAAATACTGTTGAATGATGATGCACAGAGGAGACTGTAATCATTACAATAAAATGATGGTGTAAAGCTGATGTTCTCCCATGTAAACTACTAATCACTTCACAATTAAAAAGAAAAAAAAGCTTTTACCTTTTCAGGGCAGGGAAAAGCCTTGAAACTATTTCTACATTAGAGTTTTTTTAATGAATTCAAAGGAAAGACAAACCTCCTCCAAATGATGTTTGTTTTCTTTTACATGTCTCTCAAACAGTCTTTCTAAAAACCTGCAAATGATAAACAAAGTGTCAATATCTGAAAAATCAAGCAATCCATTCCATATAAAATAGGGATGCAATCATTAAATGACTAAAGGTTGAAAGTATTTTCTTAGACTAATCTTTTCCTCTGCAAGCTAAGGCTGCCCCTGTCCTTTTCTGTTCTGTCAAGTTCTCCAACTTGGAAGCGAGGATGTCTTCCATTACACATTTGCTGCAAGTTGGAATGAGGTACAGAAACTCCCTGTCTCCTATGTGTGGGCGTACACACACAACTAAAACTTGTTGGTTTTTTCCTTTCTACTAGTCTTTTTTGGCTCTATCAAAGGCTTCTTGCGAAACAGCCAATATACTTTGTTACTATTTGTTATCATTGATTAAGTTCTAAGCCAACATAACATTTATTCGTACCAACCTATCTAGCAATTTTTTAAAAGCCAAAGAAAGCTTCATCTACTTTTTAAAACTATTGTTAATGTTTTGGAATATTCACTCATAGGCATTTTTCTATGCATGTATATTACATTAATACAACTAGGCTCAAACATCAAATGCAGTTTGGCTACCTATTTTATTTTGTGTTCTTAATTAATAGCATATTGTGGATATCTTATATATCAATAAATTCACTTACATACATCATTCTTAATAAATAAATAGCACTTTATTCTTTATGATTATACTCTAGTTTATTCAACCAATCTTTTACTATTCAGCATTCAGGCTGCTAACTTTTTTTTTGGTTCCATAAAAGATGCGGCAGTGAATAACTTTATAACAGTAAGAGAAAATAAAATAAAAATCTTAGCATATACTATGCAAACATGCTAAACCAACTTGTAAAATGGAAGAAATAAATGGAATTACTGCCCAAAATGTAGGTCTTTTTGGGTATCTCTGTCCAAATAGTGAAAATGTCTGCTATAATTTAAAACAAGAAAATAAAAGAGCCTGACGAAGGGGACGGAAAGACTTGTTTGGAAGTCCCTCACTCGGCGCACTCGGTGCAGGATTGTAACATGGAAAGGAGGCAGTCTCTATCAGGGACCTGGGCTAGATAACACAACTTGAATAGATCTGTTACATAGAGTGAGGCCCAGTGCCCAGTGGATTGTACGTGCACAAATGGTCAAGCCAGATACCAGCTCACAGTTTCTTTATGGTGTGAAATACTCATGCTAGCTCAGCAAACCTGCCATTCCATGCAAATGCAAATGCAAAGTAAAATTTTATTTTTCTAGTCTGGTATAATCAAGAGATACAGCAGTACCTAAATGAGTAAAATATTATTTTTCTCTAACTCCTCCAAACTATGAACGTGTCTTAGAGTAAGAATTGTACAGTCCTTACATGTTGCCATCAATTATAAGAGTCTGATCTGCTCCCAAAAGCAATATGGTTCATTTCTTAATATGTGAAAATGACTAAAAACTTAACACCAAGCCAAGAATACTTTAATACAATTGTCATCACCAAATACAATTAAAAAAATAAATCTAACCTGTTGGAGAATAAACCAAGTTTCAAGATTTCATCTGTTATATCTTCAATGAAACTCAGATACAACAGCTCTTCTTCACTGTGAAAGCAAGGCAAAATAAGGCCCAAAGTAGGCTTTACTTACATGACAATCAAAGGAAACACAAGTATCTGATTAGAAATACCTTTTCTGTTACAAATGTACTACTATCTCTATTAAAGGAACGGTTCAAAAGCAAACATGCTTATTTTCTCACACTGCAAGGAAAAATATTTATTAAAATAAGAAAGTACTATCTAATAAAGGAAGATTTTATAGACATTTGCAACATTAATAGTGAAAAACAAAGGCAAACAGGAGGGGCTGCTAAGGTCAAGTAGGCAATGAATGGGATCTGTTTGGAGCAAACATTCTTGACTCTTGTTGTTAGGTGTTGACTGGGCTCCCACGCACAGCCACCCCACGCACAGAGAAACAAACATGGCTCATCCTGCACCAGCCTCACAACCAATGTTATGCTTGAGCCCACTGCTGCTGCCATGAGCCACTCCATCTTGTTGAAAGTCTGCTGCTTTGTTGCTGACTCTCCACTTTACCAAGCTAGGTGTCCTTCTCCTGGGCTGGTCCCTCCTGATAACATGTCGGAAGCATGAGAGATCAAGTCTCACCATCCCGGCTTCTAAGGAGCATTCTGGCTGTATTTCTTCCAACACAGAATTGTTTTGTTTGTTCCTGACTAATGGGTGGAGGGAGAGGAAGTCTTCCATTTCAACTGTGAAATCCTATGCTGCTCCCAAAAGAGCATTTTGTTTTAAGGTTGGGAACTCTATTGAGGGAAAAAACTTTATTTTTTCCTCAAAATGCTTGGAGAGGAAGAAAAAAATCTGAATAGATATTTTTACACACAGTGGGAATTTTCAGTTGCTGTGTTGTGCTGTTAAATAACAAGAAAATTGTTGTTATTAAGTGCCACTGAGTTGGTTCTGACCCATAGTAACCCAGTATGGGTTTCCAAGGAGCGGCTGGTCAGAGTCTGCACCACTGACCTTGTGATTCAAGCTGACTTTCAGTGCATGAATCCATACTGCCACATCAGGAAAATGAGGACACTGCTATCCGGTGTGGTTGCTGGAGGAGAAGCACTGGACTGCTAACCACAAGGTCAGCGGTTCAGGCCCACCAGCCTCTCTTCAGAATCCCTGAACAGGGTCACTATTAGTTGGAACCAACTCAAAAGATACGTCACCAACAACTGTTAAATTTACATAACCAGAAATTAGTGATAGTAGAAAATGTAAACAGTAACTACTCAGTTACTGAGTGAGTAAATACAAAGGGAAAAGTTAAACAGCAAATAGATAATAGAAAATTAAAACGTCATATAAAAAGCTACACTTTCAAACTGATTCCCAACTGGACTGTGAACCACAGGGTCAACAGTTCAAGCCTACCACTTGCTCCTTGGAAGCCCTATACAGGGTTGCTATGAATTGGAATTGACTCAACGGCATTTAACAACAATAATATGTAAGCAAGTTTGGGACTAAGTAAAACAATAAAATATATGACTTTCTCTGGAAAAAATACATATACAGCTTAAATAAACCAGTAAAACTTAGAAGTATAACATCTGCAAAGATCTGATAAGATTACAAACCTCTAGGAAGAGTATTCTGACTTATGCCAAGTCTGTATTTTTCTGAAACACTTCCTGATTACTTCACTATGCTTACTTGTAAAAATAAAAAAAAGTTAAAACCAAAACCAAACCAGTTGCCACTAAGTCAATTCCCATTGTAGGCAGAGTAGAACTCCCAGAGAGTTTTCAAGGCTGGGACCTTTCGGAAGCAGTTAGCTAACTACCTTTGGGTGGGTTTGAAACATCAAACTTTGGGTTAGCAGCCAAACACTTGGTCATCTGCACCACTTAGGGTACTGATTATTACAGTTTTTTAAGTAGATATTAACGTAAGAATGCATTTCTACTTGGGATTAAAATAATGACATAATTGATCATTATAATGACTCTCTCCAATTTGGGTGATTGATGCCCCAAAGCTGGCAGTAAGCAAGACTAGTGTTCAGTCCTGACTGATTTAATATTGGTCTGTGTGAGTCTTCGGTCTTGATTTCCACTAAGCCAAATGAAGAGGTCAGGATGAGCTTACTCAGAATGGATTTTCCTCCCTGAAGAAGGTTGTAGGGAATACTGCGTTATTGTCCTGGAAAGATAAATGATAAAAGATATCTTAGCAAAACAATAGTTGGCACACAACACAGCAGTGTTCAACAGCATCACACATGAATAGCAGTATGTGTTTCCGAACTTCCAGAGCACTTTCAGAGCCCTGATCTGATTGGAGCGTCAAAACATCCCTGTTAAGTATGTTGGGTGGGGATTACTTTCCCAGGTAGTAATGAGCTAGCTCACTGTGGGGGGCAGAGCCTACAGTAATGTGTAAAGGTTTCATGATAGTAAATAACAAAGACAAACTGTAAAACTAGTCTTCTAATGATCAATTCACACTGCTTTCCTAAAGTACACTCTACCCCATTTTCAACCAAGCAACAGATGGTTCTACAAGGGAGACAACAGCACTCATGGGCTCCACACACCATAGGATGGCCAGCCACTCAAAACAGGAATGTGAACAAGAAACACAGAGAGGAAGCAGGCAAGAGATGCTCCACTGAGGGGCCTGCAGTCACTGAGATGACGCAGTGTGTGGCTTGTTAGATGTAGAAGTGACGATCTGCTCTCGAAAGCTTCTCTCAACTCACAATTAAAAAATATATATAATAGCACTCCCTTAGTATAAACAACCATATTTTGTAATATATAAAGAGGTTAATATATAATAATAATATATAATATATAAACAGAGTCCCTGCCTGGTGCAAATGGTGAAGTGCTTGGCTACTAGGTGAAAGGTTGCAAGTCCACCCAGAGGCACCTAAGAAAGGCCTGGTGATCCGCTTCTGAAAAATCAGAACCATTGAAAACCTTTCATCTAGTCCGAGACACGTGGGTCTCCATCAGTTGGAGTTGACTTAACAGCAACTGGTTTTGTTTTGATTTTTGAATGTGTCAATATTGCTAGAGACAGATACTTCTTTATGAATGTATTTAAGTTGGTCATTCTGAAAAAAATCTGTCATTATTCCATTATGTCACTATTGAGACAATTCAAAGTAGACTCAGGGATGCTCAATTACAAGTAGCCCTAACTTAAGACAGAGTTCCATTGTGACAACTCCGCTCTAACCTACGTTGAATTACCTCCTTTTCCTTTTTCAGTTTCCATACAGCAGCGTTTTGAAGAGTAAATCTTAATAGTGAACATCTGTGAGTGACATCTGAGAATGATAATATCAGCTTATTACAGCTGCAACACTGGCGGTAGTACATATTACTAACAAGATGTTAAAAAACAGCCAACAGATGGTCATGGTGTTATTGCTGCTAAATGCTGTTGAGTTGGTTCCTTCTCATAGCGACCCTGGGTAGGTTTTCCATGGAGCGGATGGGAAGTTTGAATCACTGACCTTGCAGTTCAAACCACCTTGCAGTCCAGTGCTTACTCTACAGCACCACATAAAAGTCCTAAGTCCTCTGAACTCAAATATGTCTTATGTCAGAGAAGACCTGTACTTACCTGAAACAGGAAGTACTATAGGAGATAAACATTCGTTTTTAGGTCACTCTTTATATTCAATGAAACGCCTTCAAAGTCAAGGACAGGGAGGTTAGTTAGCAGTGAGCTCCCAGGTGACCTGAGCAGGTGAGAGCTCCCTCAGGAAGGCCTGAGGACAGAGCAGAAGCAATGCTGCGGGGCCCTGAGGGGTAGCGTGTGTTTGCTTTCTGGGCTGCCGCTTCTTTCCTGCTCATTTTTCAGTTCCCAGTTCCTCCTTTCTGCCACCCTCTTACACTGATATCCAGTCCCTGACATGGGAGAGGAAAGATGAAACCATTTACACTTTCTAGCATATTAAAGGAGCTCTGGTAGTGTAGAGATTAAGAGTCAGGCTGCTAAGATCAAGGTCAGCAGTTCAAAACTACTGGTCATTCCACAGGACAAAGATGAGGCTTTTTGCTCCTGTAAAGATTTACAGCCTCAGAAACCCTATTCAGGGTGGCTGTGAGTTGGAACCAACCACCACCACCACCACCACCACCACCACCCACACTTGTGAATCTATCATTCGTGTTTGGCACAGTATTCCATAATTATTAGACAAGTGTCTCTAGCCAACCAACAGGGAAAGATGAAGCACTAGCATTTGGTAATACCCTAAACCACAGACTATGACCCCTCAATGCCTGACTTTTCAGGACTCTTATGTGGCGCTGAGGGCTAATGCACTGGACTGCAAGGTCAGTTTGAACCACAAGGTTGGAGACTCAAGCTTAGCAGCCGTTCCTTGGAAACCCTATACAGGATTGCTATGACTTAGAACCAACTTGACAGCACTTGACAACAACAAAGTGCCATGTAAGCTGGCTACAATGACTGCCTGAGCACTTGGATTGTGTAAGAATCCTTTTTTCTATGAAGTGTTAGTGTCTCTTTTTCCTTTATGATTGAATTGGTTTAATGAATTCACTTACACTTTTATTGAGCACCTTGTTATTGTTAGGTGCCATCCAGTCGGTTCCAGCTCATAGCTGCCCTATGCACAATAGTCGGACACATGGCCTGGTATCCCGCCCCATCTTCACGAGTGAAACACGTGAGCCCACTGTTGTTGCCACTTTGTCAATCCATCTCGTTTGGGCTTCCTTGTTTTCACTCACGCTCCACTTTACCAAGCATTGATGCCTTCCCCAGGGACTGGACTCACCTGATACCATGTCGAAGTATGAGAGACGAAGTCTCTCCATCCTCACTTCTAAGGAACATTCTAGCTGTACTTATTCCAAGAAAGATTTGGTACTCTTTTAATATTCTCCTCCAACACCATAACTCAAAATGCAGTAATTCTTCTACAGTCTGTCTTACTCATGGCCCAACTTTCACATGCATATGAGGCTACTGAAAAATGTCAGTATAGGTGGCACCTTAGTCCTCAAACTGACATCTTTGCTCTTTAATACTTTTAAGAGGTCTTGTGCAGCTGATTTGTCTAGTATAATATGCTGTTTGATTTCTTGACTGCTGTTTCCATGAGTGTTCATGATGGATCCAAGCAAAATGAACTCTTAGACACTTCAATCTTTTCTCCATTTACCTGAAAGTTGTTATTGGTCCAGTGGTGAGGATTTTTGTTTTCTTTATACGACCCATACCAAAGGGGTTGTCACTGATCTTCATCAGTAAGTATTTTAAGTCCTCTTCACTTCCAGCAAGCAAAGTGTGGCATCTGCATTCACAGGTTGTTAATGAGTCTTTCTCCAATCCTGATGCCACATTCTTCTTCATATAATCCAGCTTCTTGGATTATTTGCTCAGCATACAGGTTGAATGAATATGACCAAATACAACCCTGATGCACACCTTTCTCCTGATTTTAAACCATTCGGCATCCCCTTGTTCTATTGTAATAACTGCCACTTGGTCATGTATAGACTCAAGAGCAAAATGAAGTGTTTTGGAAATCCCACTCTTCACAATGTTGTCCACAGTTATCACAATCCACACAGTCAAAACCCTTTGCAGAGACAATGAAGCACAAATAAACATCTTTCTGCTGTTCTCGTCTTTTAGCCAAGATCCATCGAAGTTAGCAATGATATGGCAAGTTCTACGTCCTCTTTGGAATCTGGCTCCAACCTCTGTCAATGCATTGGTTGCAGACATTTTTAAATTATCTTCAGCAAAATTTTACTTGCATTTGATATTAATGATATTGTTTGACATTCCATTGGGTCACCTCTCTTTGGAATGGACACAAATATGGATTTCTTCCAACTGGTTGGCTGGCTAGCTGTCTTCCAAATTTTTTGGCATAGATGAGAGAGTGCCTCTAGTGCTGCATCAGTTCGTTGAAAGATTTCAATTCCCAGAGCCTTGTTCTTTGCCAGTGCCTTCAGTGCTCACTGGACTTCTTCCTACAGTTGTTACCTCTTGAAATGAATGAACATTAACCATTTCTTTTTGATATACTGACTCTGTGTGTACCTTCCATTTCCTTTTGATACTTTTTGCATCATTCAAAATTTTGCCCACAGAAACCTTCAATATTGCAAGTTGAAGACTTGAAGTTTTTCTCTTCAGTTCTTTAGGCTTGAGAAATGCTAGACATTTTCATCCCTTTGGTTTCTAACTCCAGGTCATTGCACATTTGATTATAATACTTTGTTTCTAAAACTTCCCTTTGAAATGTTCTGTTCAGCTCTTTTACTTCCTTATGTCTTCTATTTGCTTTAGCAAACTTTAGGGTCTTTTCTGACATCCATTTTTGTCTTTTCATCTTTTTAATGAGTTTTTGCTTTCTTCTGTATGATGTTTTTGATGTCATCCCACAGCTCTTCTGGTCTTCAGCCATTAGCGTCTAATGCATCAAATCTGTTCTTGAGACAATCTCTAAATTTAGATGGGATATATTCAAGGTCATATTTTGGCTCTCATGAACTTGTTTTTAATTTTTTTTTAGCGTCATCCTGAACTTGCACATGAGTAACTGATGGTGTGTTCCACAGTCTGCCCCTGGTTTAGCTTATGATATAGGGCCTTTCCATTGTCTCTTTCCACAAATGTCGTCAATTTGATTTCTGTATATTCTATCTGATGAGGTCCATGTGTATAGTCACCTTTCATGTTGTTTAGAAAAGGTATTTGCAATGAATAAGTCATAGGACTTGCAAAATTCTGTCACGTGATCTCCAATGTCATTTCTATCACCTAGGCCATATTTTCCAACTTACTGATCCATCCTCCCTGTTTAAGCCTTCACATTCCAATCACCAGTAATTATCAATACATCTTTATTGCATGTTGGATCAAATTCAGATTGAAGAAGTTAGTAACACTCTTCAATTTAATCACCACTGACGTTAGTGATTGGTGGGCAAATTTGCATAATAGTGGTATTAACTGGTCTTTCTTGTAGGCATATGGATATTATCTTATCACAGACAGCGCTGTGCTTCAAGATTCACCTTGAAATGCCCTTTCTGAGGATGAATTTGTTGTTCCTGGCATAGTAAACCTTATGACTGTCGTATTTAAGATGGCCAGTATTAGTTCATATTAATGTTTAGGTATTCCATTTCATTTCTAACTCTGTTCAGTTTTCCTAGATGCCAGATTTCATACATTCCATGTTCCGATTATTAAAGGATGTTTGCAGTTGTTTTTTTCTCATTTTGACTTGTGCCCCATCAGCAAATGAAGGTCCCCAAAGCTTTCCTTCATCTGTGTCATCACTCTCAACTGCTTTATCCTCAGCTGTAATTTGAATGCCTTCTAATCTGAGGGGTCCATCTTCAGGCACTGCATTTGACAGCATTCCGGTGCTATTCATACGGTTTTCATCTTCTGGCACGGTTTCTGATTATGTGCTGCTGCTATTCCTGAGGTTTCCAGTGGCTAACTGCTGTTCAGAAGTGATTTGATTTCCTTCCTAGTCTGTCTTCATCTGGAAGGTTCATGAAACGTGACCACCATGGGTCAATACTGCTGGTATTTCAGGTACCTGTGGCATAGCTTCCAGCTTCATAGTGACACACAGGTCACCGCAGTCTGACAAGCTGACAGATGAGTAGTGGACTGAGCACCTATACTTTGGACATTGCCCTTGATAAAATCAACAATGCCACTGAATTGCACGGCACCAAAACAGAATAAAACTCAAACCAAACCCAGTGTCTCTGAGTCATTTCCGACTCCCAGCAATCCTAGAGAATAGAGTAGAACTTTCCTTAGGGTTTCCCAGACTGCCACCCTTAGGGGCGCACACAGCCTCATCTTGTCCCAGCGGAGGGACTGGTGGGCTTGAAATGCTGATCTTGCCATTAGCAATGCAATGTTTCATCCACTGCTCCACTTCTCACTGACATCAAGTCAGTTCTGACTCATAACAACCCTGTGCAGGGTTTCTAAGGTTGCACATCTTTACGGGAGCAGAAAGCCTCATCTTTCTCCTGTGGGACTGCTGGTGGGTTTGAACTGCCAACCTTGTAGTCAGCAGTCTAGTGCTTATCCTACAGCAACACCAGGGCTCTCCCAGAGCTTGTTAAAACAGAACAGTACAATGTATCATTAAAACAGTACGTGTCAAGCACTACGGGTCTGTTTAGCAGGAAAGCAGCTTGATAAGAGAGTTGAGATGATTGCTCCGTAAGCTGTTTACCTGGATGAGGAGTGCTGGAGAATACCATCTTTAATGTCGTCCCAGGTTAGGCCACGGCCTTCTGAAGGTAAAGGCCTTTCGGTCTCTTTGCTGTCATGTGTTACACAGCTAGGTGCCTGGAATATAGTATGAGAAAAAAAATCCTTTACTTCAAAAATACATATGAAAGCAGATACAAAACAAAACACAACAAACTGCAAAAGAAAGCAGAGAGGTTTCCAGTAGTTAAAAGTGATTGATTATAATGCAGGAATAGTGTAGAATAATGTTGCCGTCCAATCAGTACTTGGTTCCCTTCAGCTTGTTTAAGACAAAACTTCTTTCTTGTATTTTAATAAGACATTTTAAGTTACATTAAGAAATCAACACAAATAAACCTATCAACAGAAAAGGAAGCAAATTTTGAAAATTTCAAGTACATTTGAGAAAAACAACCCTCATTACTCAGAAATTCAAATAACCCATCTGTTTCAAACGCCAGCGGAGCAGCTATGGGAAAGCAACGGTAGCAGCCCTGGCAAGATGAACCAGATCAACTATGGGAACAATATAAACAGTGTGAACTTTGACAATATGGACAATATTAACAATACGAATAAGAAAATAGAAAACAGCATTAACATAACAACATGAACATTAAGAATGCTGTAGTTGTTAGCTGCCATTGAGTTGGTGTGGACTCACAGCGACCCTACACACAACAGAACGAAACACCTGCCTGGCTCTGCACCAACCTCACAATCTTTGCTACTCCTGAGCCCACTGCTGCTGCCACTGTGCCTGTCCATTTCATTGGGGGTCTTCCTCCTTTTCTCTTACCCTCCACTTTATATGATATCCTTCTCCACGGACTGGTCCCTCCAGATAATAAGTCCAAGGACAAAGTTTCACCATCCTCACTTCCAAGAAGCATTTTGGCTGTACTTCTTCCAATGCAGAGCTGTTTGTTCTTTTGGAAGACCATGGTACTTTCAATATTCTCCAACACCATAACTCAAATGAACCAATTCTTCTACAGTCTTCCTTATTCACTGTCCAGCTTTCGCATGCATATGTAGTTGTTGAAAATACCATGGCTTGGGTCAGGCGCACCTTAGTCCTCAAACTGACATCTTGGCTCTTCAACACTTTAAAGAGGTCTTGTGCAGCAGATTTGCTTAATGCAATACGTTGTTTGATTTCTTGACTGCTGCTTCCAAGAGTGTTGATGATTGATCCAAGCAAAATGAAGTCTTTGATAACCTCAATCTCTTCTCCATATATATATTGATGCTGTTTATTTGGTCCAGTGGTGAGGATTTTTGTTATCTTTACATTGAGATGCAGTCCATACCCCAGAGGCTGTGGTCTTTCATCTTCATCAGTATTTTAAGTCCTCTTGACTTTCAGCAAGTAAGGCTGTATCAGCAGCATACTGAAGGTTGTTAATGAGTCTTCCTCCAATCCTGATGCCACATTTTTCTTCATACAAATCAGCTTCTTAGATTATTTGCTCAGCATACAGATTGAATAAATATGGTGAAAGAATACAACCTTGGTGCACACCTTTCCTATTTTTTTTTCTTTGAAAAGATTGTTGTTGTGTGCTATTTTTTCCCCATGTTTTATTGTGAATTATATGATAGTTTACATGAGAGAACTTTAGTTTTACATTCATTCCATCATATATCATCTCATTGCCATGGTTCCAATCCCCTCCATGCATCATCAACCGACCAAAGGGTATACCCTATAAACCCGCCCCCTACACTCCCCCGCCCCTATTCTTCAGGACCCAGTCCCTCTCCCTCTCTGGATCCAAAGTCCCCATCCGCTTCATCACCTCCACGTCATCGTCTCTGCCTCCATCTCGGGGCTGGTTGCTTCTCTGGGTAGGGTCCCGCTCTCGGCTCTTCTCCCTTGATGGTCCCAGAGACCTCTGCTTCTAGACTGCAGAGTTAATAACTCCCTTCCTTGCTACCAAACATCTACCTTTATATTTCCAACCCTCACAACGAGTCCTGATAACAATCGTTCACTATTGTATCACAAGTGACCCTTCTGCATTTCATTTCATCAGCTCCGCCTAGACAGACTGGATAGTACTCACTGGAGATTCTGCCTTCCTCCATGCCCCTTAGCTCTAGGTTCCATCTTGAAAGCTTGTAAGCCAGTTACTTCTTGCCTTTGTGGTTTCTCCCCTCCATCTGGGTATCCAATGTCCAAGTTGCCCATCTCTGTCTACTCTGTGTGTGGAGGGGGTAGGAATGTTTCTTGCTGTGAGGGTTTGTTCCCTCTTTTGGGTTACTGTATCCATAGGTGTAGATCAAGTTCATCAAATTGTCTCAGATCACTCTTTTTTTTTCCACCTTCTTTCTTCTCCTGGTTGAGTTCTGATCATCCATTCATCGGGACCAGGTCACGTGGGTACCATCTGCAAGTGTGGGTGTTCTTGTGCATATGCCCTCTCTTCCTATGAGCTGGTAGCTTCACTCTCTACTCTAGTCTTCTGTGGCCACGCCACTGACTCTGGTCCCAGTAGTCCTCAGGTTTCCCCACACTGCTGGCCAACCATGCCCCCATCTGGGCCAAAAGAAGCCCACCAAACACTGTAGGGCTTAGCTTGCCGCTTCATTGCTGCTTTTACCCCACTTCTCCCTATCGGCGATGCGTGTGGTCACCAATCGGCGCGTATTTCTCTTGAGTCTTAGTCTTGGAAGGGGGTTTGCATTAAGAGGACCTCACCACTTGCCTTGATGTTTCCTGGACAAGCAATTTGTTTGTTCTTGTAGTAACAGTCCATCTGCCTCTATTGTTTTGTATTTTTCCTGTAGGTCTTTCTTTCAAGAAGTATCTTCTGTTCTTCTAGCCGCTCCAGGCTGGTTTGCTCGTCCTTTCAAGTTGGAATTTCCCATCTCTGGAGATCTGGATGTGGTTCAGGCTACTATCTATAGTCTTATGTATTGCAAAGGCTCCGCAGGAATCCTCCTTCACTGGGCACTTTGTAGCCCCATTTTAGGTGTTCCAATCACTTATAGGCAGAAGACGGACTTTACAAGCTTTCTATGATGATGTTTCTGACTATTCCTTTCTCTCCCCCTCTGGTGTCTATTTTATATTATAATGCAAGGAAAACCAAGATTCAAAAGACAGCCAAGCATCTTAACATTATTCCCCCCTTTTCCCCATTCCAACCATGGGTCAATCTCTGTATCCCAGAGCCCTATAGTTCCAAGGTTGTGCATGCATCATTCTTAATCTCTGTCCCACTTAGCCCATTCAAACATGCCTACTTGTTCTCCCATCTGCTTTGTTCTTCCGTTTCCCTCTCCCTCCTTGTATATTGCCCCCCTCCATAGCACCCAAACTTTCCTGTGTCTAATCCCTACCCTGTGCTCCACCTTCCCTTCCCTCCCCTTCCCAACAATCAACAAAGACTTCCCCCTACCCCCCTTTTAACATAATTTCTTTTTCTTAGTCTGTTACAGTAGTGGTCCTGTGCAGTATTTCTCTTTTTGTGACTGACTAATTTCACTCAGCATAATATCCTCAAGGTTCATCCATGTTATGTGGTGGCTTGCCGCTTCCTTGTTATTCTTCAAGGTAGCATAATATTCCATTGTGTGTATGTACCAGTTTGTTTATCCATTCTTCAGTTGATGGGCACTTTTCGTTGTCTCCATCTTTTTGCTATTGTAAATATGAACATTACACCTTTCCTATTTTAAACCATTCGGTGTTCCCTTGTTCTGTTTGAATAACTCTTCTGGGTCTATGTACAGGTTCCTCATGAGCACAACTAAGTGTTCCAGAATACTCATTCTTCACAATGGTGCTTATATTCACATAACTGAATTCACATAACTTGCCATTATTCACATAACTGAAAGCTTTTATGTAGTCAATAAAGCACAGGTAAACATCTTCCTGGTATTCCTTGCTTTTAGCCAAGATCCATCTGACATTAGCAATGATACCCCTCATTCCATGTCCTCTTCTGAATCCGTCTTGAACCTCTGGAAGTTCTCTGTCAATGTATGGTTGCAGCTGTTTCTATATCTCTTTAGTAAAACTTTACTTGCATGCGACATTAAGATACTGTCCTATTATTTATACATTCCATTGGGTTACCTCTTTGGAGTGGGCATGGGTACGGATCTCTTCCAGTCAGTTGGCTAGGCAGCTGTCTTCCAAATTTCTTGGCATAGATAAGTGAGTGCCTCCAGCACTGCATCAGTTTGGTGAAAGATTTCAGTTTGTACTCCGTCTATTCCCAGTGCGTTGTTCTTTGCCAATGCTTTCAATGCACCCTGGACGTCTTCCGTCAGGATCATTGGCTCTTGATCATATGCTACCTCTTAAAATAGTTGAACATCAACCATTTCTTTTTGGTAGAGTGACTCTGTGTATTCCTTCCCTCTTCTTCTTTTTTTTTTTTTTTTCTTTTTTCTTTTGATGCTTTCTACAGCATTCATTATTTTGCCCAGAGACTCTTCAGTACTGCCAGTCGAGGTTTGAATTTTTTCTTCTGTTCCCTCAGCTTGACAACAATATGAATAACAATATGAACAATGTGAACATTAACAATCTGAAGGACATTATTAATATGAATAACAATATGAACATGAACAATAATAGTAACAACAACAACAAAAAAATGGCTACTTCCTTTCACAGAATCCTTATTATGTGGATGAGGCAGCCACATGGCTCGCACTTCCTGAATGAAGCTGGACAACGCTCAGCACGTCTAGTGCCCCGCTTTGGAATAAACGTGCTTCCTCCAGTCCATGGCCATCTATTACTGGTTACTGAGTACAGGGGCACACCATTTTCTTGCAGAGTTAGGGACAGACCTTTAGGACACACATTATAAAAATGAACTGCTTCTGCTTTGTTTGCTATCTGTAGAGGCAGCAGGCTTTATCAAACTCGTTTATCCCACACTTCACCTACATCACATGTTCGTCACAGCGATACTCCTAGGCAAGTGCAGTTTTCCTAGATGAGGACCCTGAGTCTGCAGAGGAAAGGGGAGCTGTGCTGGCTTCTCCAGTGCTAGGACCCTCTGTTGAACAGCGAGTCAGAGCTGAGCTGTAAATCTAAGGAAGCTGGGTGGGATTTATAATCTTTTCTATTGTCTCTGAGTCTGTGTCTGAACTCTTAATAGAGACCCCCCCCTTTTTTTTAAACAAATAATAAACTTAAATTAGAATATGATAGGCAGTACCCAAAATAGAAATAAATAATAAATATCAACTAGCCTCAAAATCAAATTTAAAGCTGTAATCTTTTACAAGAAATGATTTTGCTAAGCCTTCAAAATATAAACATTTTGATCAAGAGCTTAATTGTCTAGAAAAAGTAAAATCAAACATAAAAGAATGCTGTGATCCATCATTCTGATAAAAATGCCTAACTTTGAATCAGTGGCAATTCTTAAAAAAATAAAAATAAATAAAAATGCAGACATAAAAACTGAAATAGCTTCTACTCAGCCTTACTGGTTCCTTTAGTCATTCAAGTCTGCATCTTTGAAAACATTAAAGCATTTTCATTCATCTAGCCAATCGGTGAATTAATCATCCAGAGAAGATGCTAATAAAGTGATTTCCCAGGTAGGGCAGAAACCATGTGGCCATTCACAGAGACCTGTAACTATCTGTAAACAGGTCACTTCCATATACTGACTACAGCACATGCAACGAGTGTCTCCAAGAGATTCTACTTCACAGTCCTCATACTTACACAGAAACACCAGCTCTAAATAGATACACCTACTTTTCTCAGTTAACGTTTCTATAATTCAAGTGCTGCAACACAAACACATCTCATTTTTATTACCTGTTTTACGTTCGTTTCAGAATTGGTCAAATGCTCGGTCTCAGCTGTCTCAGAATCAGAATTAAAGCTGTAATATTTTAAAAGAAATGACAATAAGCCTTCAAATAGAAACACAGTGACAGAATGCTATACTGCCTAGGAAAAAATGAACTCAAGCATTAAGAGAATGAGATTGATCTATCCTCAAGCAGTGTGTAACGTCCAGTAACAAAACCAAGAAATATAGATGGCTTGAGTACATATGCCTCTTGTTCTTTTGTTGAATACCAGCTACATGTCAGTTGGACAGAACAGTCTAGAATATGGGAAATATTACCTTCATGAGCGTTAACTATAAGCAGAAAATGAAAGACTTGCTTGATTTCTGCCCAACTGAGTTCTGTCAGATATTCAAATGCTCTAACTCTTTGGTTAAGCATCTGCGAAACATATCTGATACTATTGTACCTCTTCTCTGTACCCAAAACAAAACTAGTTGTTTTTTTTTAAAAGTTTCTAAAATAACTAAAACCTATTATCAGGTAAATATTTGTTCACATCATAGTAGGAAAAATATTCACAAATCAGCTAACATTTAATACCATATAAGATTTGTTTTATTTGGCAAAGTCAGGAACATCTGTTATGTGCCAGGTACCACTGTATGTGAAAACATTGAGGTAAATTACACTTAATTTCTAGAAATTATCCCAACTATCTAAATTATTTTTGGGGTTGTTTTCCTAAAAGACTGAAACTGAGTACTTGAGACAAAGGGTAACAGGAGTAGGTGGTTAAGCGATTGTGTTTGTTTCCCCTGTAGCCAACTTTTTTGTGTTTTTTTCTAGCATGAATTACTAGACAAGCTTGCACAGATCCTGTCTGTTTTAAGACTGCTCTGAAAATCATGCCTGAAACAATAAATTAAAGGAAGTAACATTTATATTTATAGGAACCAGAGAAGTTTAATAGCTACTGTTTCTCTATTTTTTCAATAATTACTTTTATAGTTTTAGTGATACATACGAAATGAAGTCATATTAACCTTATTGTAATAAGATACGACCACACATGAAGTCTGGTACTTGAGACACATGATATAAAATAAAATCCCAAGCCCAAACCCATGATCATCAAGTTGATCCCGATTCAAAATGACCCCAGTTAAGGTTTCTGAGACCGTCAGTCTTCATGGGAATAGACAGCCTCATCTTCCTCCCTCGAAGTGCCTGGTGGCTTGACCCACTGACCTTAAAGTTAGCAGTCCAACAATACCTAACCCCTCACACCAGCAGAGCTCCTTAAGATCTACATTAAGAACTACCAATTTCACCTCTATAACATCCAGAAGGGTTGGCTATTGGCTGATGATAACGCCATACCTGCTTAATTCCGTCTGGGTTTCAGCTTCTACCTGATGAGCCTTTTTTCTTTTGGCAGGTGTATAATACCGGTACTGGGACAGGAAAGATTTTGCTTCTGTTTTTAAAGTGCGTGGAGTGAATGGCAATTGGTTGTTAGAAAAGAATTCGGAATGTTTATCTAGCAGATCCCCACTGGGTGCTTTTGAAATAGCTAATCGGAGGGGATTTGGGAATGTGCTCTTGGGCCCTCTGCCCGAGCTGGATTTCCTGGCACGGGCAGCTGTGTAATCCATGCTGGAAAGGCAGGGATGGGAGTTCTGCTTAGCACCATTCCTGAGGACTTTGTCAGCTTTAGATGCTCCAAGGTGTAGTGTCTCTAAAGAAGGTACTGGTGACCTCGAAAAGGTTGGGAATCCGTTCACTTCTTCTATGAACACAACAGCCTCGTCTTGTGGTTCCCCTGAAGGCTAAGAACAAGTGGTTTGAGAGTCAAACGCATTTATAAATTCATCACAAGTTCTCTAGACTTTCTTTATTTAGATAAATGAGTATTTAGAGGAGTTGACTTGTTAACAACAGTGAAGAAGTTAAAATCAGTGTAAGAAACTTGGTACTGTAAAAAAATCTAAAAATGGTATCATTTTCAAATGAGTTTTAAAAATAGATAATACGAGGCACTGGTGAAGAACAGAGGCTTGGATGGGTTCCAATTTGTTAGAGTCTGTGCCCTGAGTTTTTCAGCTATAAAACAGTAGTAGTAATTATGGCATCTCCGAGAAGCTGATGTGAGTTCATATATTTTAAGCATAGTTAAAAGTTCCATAGTTATAACAGTACCTTATACATATTAAGCATTCTACATATGTTAGTAGCAGTGAAAGGAGTAATTGTTATAATTACTCTTTTATTCTACTCCGTGTCAAAATAGTACTTATCATCTAAATATAGTTACTGAAATTATTAAAAAGTAAAATTAAAAATAAATATTTATATTATTGTTTTAAAGGGAAAAGAGATCAGATCAGTCATGACTTCATTTATAAACTAAGTAAAATTAAGCAAGAGAAATCCATCTTTTAAAGATACATTTTGTCAAATAACTAGGCCTTGCAATAAGGTTTTGTATTTGTGAGTAGCCTCCATTATTAGTTGAATAGGCAGGTTAAGACAGACCAAACGATTCGTTAGCAAGTCCTTTTTTCCATCCATCATGTGCAATGAAATGGAAATCAAAGGGATCTGTATTTCTTCACCAGAGTCAGTGCTGGGTCATCAGTTTACATCCAACAAATCACACACTTTGCTTCATCTCAAGGACTCCAATCTCCTCCATGTAACAACACTTATCCCACTTCCTCTGTGTGGTTCCTATTTCCAGTCCACTTGCAATGTGGGTTAATGCGCCAGACTGCAAAGCCATTTGAACTGCACAGTTGGTGGTTCAAGCTCACCAGCCGCTCCTCAGAAACTCTATATAGGGATGCTATGGGTCAGAACCGACTCAATGGCATTTAACAACAACAACAACCACCTTCCTAAGCCTTCTAAACTTTTCCACTAGGTAAATGATGCCCTTTTGATCTTGAATGGTTGACATTTCCATGGTGAGTGTACCTCACTAGTACTGCTGACCAGGTTGAAAACTAGACCACAAGGGTGAGTTTCCTTCCAGACCTGGAGGGTGGCCGAGGCCCATAGTCTTGGGTTCCTCTACTCTCTTAAACTGCAGAGTTTCTGATCTATGATTTCATACATGTAAATTGCTAATGTATTCATTCAGATGCAAGGGTAAACCTTCACCAAATTCAGACAACTGTTAGTCTGATTAGCCATATAATCAATCTAATTATCAAAATAAATATACTGCCCAAAAAGTCATTTTGAGACTACTTGAATGTATCTAAAATATTTACCATCAAAAGTTACAAAATTCCAAGTTACTGTAAATGGAGTCAATAAAAAATATACTCAAAAGTATAAATTAACTATTTTATGGAGACAAAAGCTAAAGGTTTGCAATGTCTAATAGAAAAATAAATGAAAGCATCTTACATTTCTAGACTTCATTATGTATTTTATTTTTAACAAATCCCATTCTTATCTAAAGACGCAATTATGAAATTACATTGTTGTTGTTGTTGTTGTCAGGTGCCATCGAGTCAGAACCGACTCATAGCGACCCCATGCACAGCAGAATGAAACACTGTCCGATCCTGGGCCAACCTCACCACTGCTGCCACACTTGACGCCATCAGTGATGCCACCTGGCTGATCCATCTCGTTGGGGGTCTTCCTTTTTTTCTCTGACGCTCCATCTTACCCAGCATGACATCCTTCTCCAGCGACTGTTCTCTCCTGACAATATGTCCAAAGTATGAGAGACAAAGCTTAGCGATCCTGGCCTCCAAGGAGCACTCTGGCTACACTTCTTCCAAAATAGATCTATTGGTTCTATGGCAGTCCGTGGCACTTTTAGTATTCTCCTCCAACACCACAACTCAAAGGCATCAATTCTTCTATGGTCTTCCTTATTCACTGTCCAGGCTTTCACATCCATATGAGGTTATTAAAAATACCATGGCTTGGGTCAGGCGCACCTTAGTCCTCAAGCTGACATCTCTGCTCTTCAACACTTTAAAAAGTTCCTGTGCAGCAGATTTTCCCAATGCAATACGTCATCTGATCTTTTGACTGCTGTTTCCACGATTGTTGACAGTTGATCCAAGAAGAATGAAGTCCTTGACAACTTCAGTCTTTTCTCTGTTGATAAGAATGTTGTTTATTGGTCCAGTGGTGAGGATTTTTGTTTTTCTGACATTGAGATGCAACCCATACCGAAGGCTGTG